TTCTCTTCCACCGGTAAAGCGGTAGCTGGGCATGACGTCAATTTTCTCTACCACTGTTCAATCGGTAGCTGGGCATGACGTCATTTTTCTCTACCACTGTTCAATCGGTAGCTGGGCATGACGTCATTTTTCTCTTCCACTGTTCAATCGGTAGCTGGGCATGACGTCATTTTTCTCTTCCACCGGTAAAGCGGTGGTCAGGGCTCAAATGGTTAATTTGAACTATGTGTGGCATAATGAAAAATGCTGCAAACCATGATGTAGGCCGAAGAATGTATTGGTCGGAACATGGCGATAAAACCTAGATGGAACTGAATATTAGACCGAACAACTCGTGGAATAATCAATTGGTTGGTTGGTTGATTTTGTTTAGCGACATATCAACATCTCTATGGGTTATTTAATGCCGAAAACCTAAATATTTTGTACTTAATTTTATAAATATATTGTAAATCATTTTATACTTTCAGGGCAAACGTAATTTTCTTTAGATATATAGTTTGTAGATAATAAAATTTACGGTTGGTAATTTTTTTTAAATGTATTGCCGGTAACTTCATTACAAAAATGTACCGTTACTAATTTTTTTATAAAAAAATGTATTAGTGATAATCTATATCTATAATTCTCAAAATGTATGTATGTGTGTATGTTTAATCAGATGTTGTTCATGCGTTTCCACAGTTTTCATCCGATTTCGATTTTTTTTTTTTTTTTTTTTTTGATAGATAATTCTTCAGTGCCGGATTTGAGTTCAAATTGCCTAGAAAAAATTACAACCTTGAAGGTGAAAAATCGAAAAAACTTAATTTTTTTACACTTTGCGCAAAAATCAAAGGCAAAATTTAATTTGGGTAAAAACAGCGTACAATCAATTTAGAGAGTTGAAATCTAACACAAAAGATAATTAAAATATAATTAGAATTATATATATATATATATATATATATATATATATATATATATATATATATATATATATATATATTATAAAATGATCGTATATTATTATTATGACGGTCCACGGAACAGGTTCCTTCCTTGCAAGATTGAGAACGCAAAAACGGCCTTTTTAGGACCATCCTCATTCAAATTGTTAACCCCATCTCATTTGGGGATGTGCCTCAGTTGCACCCAAATATTGTTAATAATATTGATTTTCGGGTAGGCTGACTTTAAACTTAAACTGCTCCAATTGAACGTCAAAATTTCCAGTAATGAGACACCCCATCGAAGACGGATTATACTGCTAATATTACTACAAAATATAATATTTTTATACTTTTTAGTGTTGTATTGATGGTTATTTTGCTATAAAAATGTATTGCTGGTAACTTTACTTTAAAAATGTACTTTTTACTTTTTAGTGTTGTTGTGGCACCATGCATCCGGACGATTTGAAAGAAATATTTATAGATATATGATTTGCTTTTTTACGGTTTATCAACCATTTGATAATTATTTAAGGCCGAAAAATATTTTAGGTTTTAAGAATAATTCTTTCTTTGCATTCAAGCGATTTGGGAGAAAGAAAGAGAAAACGAAGAAGAAAGAAAGAAAAGTAATACCAGACGGGTCATAGGCGAACACACACACACACGGCTTAAGAGACGGAAATGAGGAGGAAAAAGGTTAAAGTTGATAGATATCAGATGTCGAAAATATCTAGGTCACCTACGAACAAGCGTTGACCGATTTCCGCTTGTCCACGAAAAATGGAATTTTGTTATCGCTGGATGTCACCAGAGAGAAGAAATCCATTGTTGAACATTGACGAAACACAGACAGTCTTCCCTGTGTAAAGAATTAAAAAATCCCACACAAGAAATTTTCACTGGCTAAATTTTTCTTTCTTTTGACAGAATAAACGTTTGCCCTGTGATAATAAAGATTTTTTTGTTATCAACACATGGGCCGAAAGGAAAATGAAATATCTTTATTTTTGCTTTAGAGACGCCAGGTAGGCTAGGGAAATTCCTTTCTTAGATCATGTCCAATTAGCGATAACCTGCTTGACAAACGCCACGTGTTAAAACCAAGAGTGTCACCTCGGCCGCTCATGATAAGGGCGATTTAATTATTTTTTTTTTAGTTAAGCAAGGTATTTCTTTCCCAAAACAAAGCCACGGGTTGTTCACGCCCGACTAAGACGTCATTGGCCAAGTGGATCACATGGCGCACGAAGGAGGAGGAAAGATACCGACCAGGACCTCATTGGCCGAGAGCGGTCACGTGAGGACGAAGAAAATCAGTCGACGCCTCTATCAGAGTGTAAGTGGGAGAAGCCGATACGAAGAAGTGGGGAAGGTAGTGCACGCCCCTCAGAAGCACGGTAAGAGAGTGGGAGTGAGAAAAGAGTTACCAAAAATGGAAAAGAGTGAAAAATCCCTAAACAGAAATAAGAAGGGTGGATACGTATTTAGAATTATCGAGGAACCCCCGACGCCAAACAGAACCACCCCAGTTTTGACGGCGTCAATAAAAACGAAGCCCCACCAGACAGAAATCAGTGCAGCCGCGGACGGCAGGCGGAGTTGAGCCGCGGACGGCGGGCAGAGTTCGTTCGCCCCTAGCGGGCAGAAGAGGCCAGTTCGTTTGGCCCTGCGAGAAGAAGTTCGTTCGACCCAAGCTGGCGAGAAGAAGTTAGTTCGCGCACCGGCGGCAGAGAGAAGAAGTTAGTTCGCGCACCGACGGCAGAGATGAGTGCCCAGTTAGTTGAGCCCCGGACGGCAGGCAGAGATGAGTGCCCAGTGTTGAAACCACATCAAGATAGCTGACCAAGATTCACGCACACTTTTGGACTCTTCTTCAACCAAGAACAAGTAGTTTGAAGAGCGACTTAGGACCAGACCACAGAAATAAGTTTTTCGACTTTCGTCCAAAGACACACCGAAACACAAATTTCTTAGAGAGTAGACAACTTGAAGCGTTAGAATTTGCCTAGCGAAAGCGTCGTGCCACAATCCACAGAACGGGTCGGGAAGTAGACATAGTCCTATGTACCGAACAAATAGACATAAAAAGTTTGTTACCTTTTTCTTTGATACTTGGAACTTTGTGAGTTTTCATTTTATTTTATTTTATGTTATACATATTTGTGTGTTATCACCCCCGTTGAACTCAGCTTGCATTACGGCCCCAACCCCTGTTTGATCTCGTCTGTCTAAGATCAATTCACAACGTGGGTAGGCAGACTGGAGATCAGTGCAGTTACCCTGGTAACCAGGCGTTAAAAGCAGGTTGGGAACGGCGAGGCTGGTATCAATCTAACCAGATTCCTACCCGAATCACCAAAGGGTTAGAACGTCACGTTTGGAGCAGCGACACCCGGACGGAGCAGCGAGGAGCGAACAGCTGACGCCGCGGCGAAGACGTCACAATTGGTGCTGTTTAGGGACGTCACAACTGGCGCCGTGGTAGATCAGGATAGAACGTCACAGTCGGCGCTGCGACCGGGGGACGACGTCACATTGTATTGTTGGTCATTTTTATAATTAAAAATTGTACTGTTGATTTTTGTTTGGAGGTTCACTATTTGGCCATAGCTGGGATACTAATAAGTGCTACCACTACAGGTCAGAGTGAACCTGTGAAGGACAGCAGTTAAATTGTGGTTCCACACTCCTCAAAACCTCCAATCTCCAAATCAGAGACCTTGCTGCCAGATGTAGTTTATCGTCATAGCCAGGACTACTTAATCATTAGAGGTGAGTAACATATTTTTGTGAAACTATTATAATATGTTAGAAGACCATTAAGACGTTTATTCTAAAATCCGACATTATTTTCCGAACAAGCTAATGACTAAAAAAAGATGTGTCTGAATAAATAAAGAAAGAAAATACGTCAAAATAATATATATATATATATATATATATATATATATATATATATATATATATATATATACTAGCGTCGTTGTTCCAAAATACCGGTAGAAATTGAAATTGAAAGAGTACGAAAATTAGTTTAAAATATAATTAAATATAAGTAATTTTGTTTTGTTACAAAAATGTATTGCTGGTATATTTTTACTATGAAAATGTATTGCTGGTATTTTTACTATTTTTTTTTTTTGTTTACTTTCATAGTGTTTTCGACCCCAGTTTTGGGGTTAACTATTTGCCTATAGCTGGGACTCACCCACCCTAACAGGTGCTACCACCCGGACCTGGGAACAACAGCAATTAAGAGGTCGTTCCACGCTCCTCAAAACTTCCCGATCAGAGACCTTGCTGCCAGATATAGTTAATAATCATGGGTTTGACAATGAAATAATCAAGACTTGTCTGATAATTTCAGACAATAAAGAAGACCGAAGAATGCATCGGTCGGAACGTAGTGATAAAACCAATAAGGAACAGAATATTAAATCGAACAACTCGTGGAATGATAATATAATTTTTATTTTCAGAAAATTCTGTTTGACAAAATTCAAAACTTGCATCTGTCAAAGGAACTTGATCTTTCATTTAAATTATATTAACCAGATTAATTCATTTTAACTTTAGTTAAATATCCATCAAGGGAAAAAGAAAAGCAGACAAGGAAAATTTATTTAATCATCGGTTTTTATGTGTCAGCATTGTACTACTTCCGGTTATGCATGTGGTGCATGCGTCGACTTGAAAAATAGAAGAAAATTCCTATCTTTTGAGTTCAATTATCTCGTAAGCAAACCAGAAAACTGTCGTTTCTGAAGTGAAAAATAATGCGTATCTTCGTGAGAAGTTGTGCTCGGGGTCCTTATTTCTACTCTGCCCTCAAACACAATGTCGTACTTTCCAGTCGTTGACCTTTACATACACCAAATATTCAACTTCGTGTTAGCATGATCATTCCTGGCAGCAGATTGAAATGAAAAGTTAATTTGGGCGACAGTGAAACCAACTACCCAAGACGAAATCTAGTAATATCTGTCGGCCTTAGAAGTTAGCAATCGACATTAGCCTACGGTCTTTTTCATCTGGAATTGCTAGTTCGACGAGTTGGTATCCAACATATTTTGTCGTGTTGTTTCAGAAAATGCCAGGGGCAATGGCCCAGGTCTGAGGGCGATCCGAATTATGAAAAGATTGCCGGTTATTGAAAGAGTAGTAATTGAATTGTTGTTATCAGTTAGAAAGAAAGAAAGAAAAGAAAGAAAGAAAGACTTAAAAAGGTAAGAACAAAAAAAAGATAAAAGACAATGAAATAAGAAAGATAAATAGAGAAAAACTGAAAATGAAAAATAAAACAGAGAGAAAAAGAAGAAAAGAAAAGAGGGAAACGAGAGAAAGAAAGGTAAGAAAAAACAATGAAAGAAAAAAGACAGAGAAAAAGCAATGAAAGAAAAAAGAAAAACAGAGAAAAACGGAAAATTAAAAAGAAAAGAAAGAAAGAAAGAAAGAATGAAAAAGAAAAGAAAATAGAGAGAGAAAAAGAGAAAGAAAGCAAAAACGGAGGACTTCAAAAGGTTAGAAGAAATGGGAGAGAAAAAAGACAATGAAACAAAAAAGAAAAACAGAGAAAAACTGAAAATTAAAAAGAAAAAAGAAAAAGAATGAATGATAGAATAAAAAGAAGAGACAAAAATAGAGAGAGAAAAGAAAAAAAGAAAGAGAGAAGAAAATATAGTTTGAAAAGAAGAAGGAACGAAAGAAAAAGAAGAAAAGAAAATAAAGAAGGAATAAAAATAAAGAAAGAAAAGAAAATAGAAAAAGAAAAAGAACGAATGGAAAGGAGAAGGAAAGAAAGAACAGGTAGAATATGAAAAGAAAAGAAATAATTGAAAATGAAAATTAAGGATGGAGAGAGAAGAATGTAATAAAATTGAAAAATTTAAAAAAAACAGAAAAAAGAAAAATAAAAGACAAAAAGAAAGGAAAATCAGCAAAACAGTGAAAAGAAAAGAAAACTGAAAAGGAATAGGAAAGAAAGAGAGAGAGAGACAATAGAAAAGGAAAAAGAAAAAAGAAAAGGAAAAGAAAGGTGAAAATATAAACTGAAAAAAGATATCTCAGACAACAAAGACAAGAAAGGAAATGATTGGACAGGTTGAAAATACAAGAAAAACCGCAAAGGAAGTTGAAAAGCCTTTGAGGAATGGATAATTGGCAGTTAAATAAACAAAGCTTCAATAAAAATAAGGAATAAAAAATAAGTGAATAATGTCAGGAGACTGATGAACTTTTAAATAGAAAAACACCGAAAAACACTACGCACCCCACCGAGTATGAAATGGCAAATCATTTTCAATCAACTTTCACTTTCGTTTTTGTCGACGTTGTTTTCTTTGACTTCCATACATACATACATACATACATACAAACATACACACACATACATATATATATATATATATATATATATATATATATATATATATATATATATATGACGCATGTCGGCTAGCGAGTATGAATTCAGCTGTTGTTTTAGAGTTCCATCCTTACTGGGAACCCTATTATTGTTGCCTTGTGCCAGTTTAAGAAATTATGAAATAATAAATCATTCCCATTTGTATTTCGCATTAATTTGAAAATGAAACTGATTTTTTAATTTATATCTATTATATATATATATATATATATATATATATATATATATATATATATATATATATATATATTATATACACTGTTACGTTAGAACAGTGTATAATAAATATTTATTGCTCTACTTTTGTATTGAGCCCTGTTTAAAATTAATACTTTGAATGTTGTAATTTTATTCTTCGTTCTTTTACATTTGGACATTACACACACACACACACACATATATATATATATATATATATATATATATATAGATAGATAGATATATATATAGATAGATAGATAGATAGATAGATAGATAGATAAATAGATAAAGAAAAGACCGAGATAGATAGATAAATAGATAGATAGATAGATAGATAGATAGATAGATAGATATGTATATATGTATATATATGCATGTTTATATATTCATATTATCATTATTCAGTCATCAAAGTATTTTCTCCAGTTTTCTTTTTAGGCCCGTCATCCACCTTTCTGATAAACTGTGTATTGTGTTATAAAATAAGAATTCTTCTTTTGGTTTACTGAATTCCTCAAGGAAATATTTTCAGTTTTGAACGTGTTCCAATCGCTGGCCTAACAAGAAGTATGACGTGAATCCTGAAGGGTTAACTTGTTTAAAAATATGCTACATGTGAAAATATACTACATGTACAAAGTATGTTAAATCCGGGGCAGGGTCGGGGATATATGCGATCGACCATGAATTTAGACTCTCAGAGCATTGTTAGAGAGTGAGCGCCCTATTATTGTTGCCTTGTATCAAACCAAGCCGAGGCAAGTAGAATTATGAAACTGAAAATAATTCTCACAAGTTTTACGTAATTGGTAACAAGCTCAAATCGTTGACTAATTTACTAGCGTAGTAAGTTTAATCTTTAAAATGGGGAGGGGTTCGTAGAATTTACCGCCAGAGGAATCACAGAATTTGTCGCCTGGGATAGTTGTAGAATTTCCCGCCGGAAGTGTTTGTAGAATTTTCCCGGGACGATTGTAGAAATTGATGCTAGGGAGGGTCGTTGAATTTGCCATCAAGGAGGGGAGCGTAGAATTTGCTTCCAGTGGTGGAGTGGGGGGTCGTTGAATTTGCCGCCAGCGAGATCGTAGAATTGAATATTCTCTCATTTCTAAACAACATTTCAAATCCTCATAACATCTATTTCATTAGAACAATGTGAAATGCTGTCCCCTAAAACATGCTGCCTGGGTAAGATATTAACTTCCGCGCCTTCCCTATCGGGGCCGCCAATACCCTAGTGTCTGTGAAATTCTTTTTAGGTCCTGAACATGATCGATAATTTCAGGAGTTGACTCCATTGATGTTGACGTGTTCCCAGACCGTGAAAGGTCTCAAAATCTCCACATTGGAAATTAGCACACTATTCCTGTCCAGTTGAGTATGATGAGCACTTGTCACCCAATGCTCATGGATTTTAGATGGAATTCTCTCCTGTCGAAGTAGGAACTTCATGAGAGCTCGGAGTTCAACACTTGAAAATGTCACAATTTGCGCTGATACGGTTCGGACGATCAACTGAAACAAATTTAAATATAAACGCAAAGGGTTTGCAAGTTGACACTTTTCGGCTACAGCGAGAAATTAACGCTCAGATTTTTGAGAAGTGGATCAGGCCGATAATTTTTCAGCACCCCCACCCATACTCTGAATGGCCCATTTTTGTATCCTTGAACAAGATTTAACTCACCTTTGGAATTGCTAATCTTGGCAGATCTCTTCGAGGTAATGGCTAACAAGCTCTAATAGATCATTACTACTGTATGGTGAGTTCGATTCTCACCAGATATCCTATTATTGCTGCCTTGGGCCAGACTAGGCTTGGGGAATACTGTAACGCAGGATTTCCATACATATGGCTACATGGCCAAAATGAGCCATAGCAAATTTCAGTGAGCCAAAGAAATTTTATAATTTGATATAATCTATTTAAAATAAAAGTAATTTTTTTATACTATAATAATTTCATAGGCCACCGAAACATTTTGGGTTCAAAGTGGTCTATGAGCTAAAAAGGTTGGGAACCAGTGCTATAACGCATCTATTTGCTAATGCTATGTTTCTATATACAGGGCATATCAAAAATACTTTTACAATCATTGGTGACGGGTTCCTCAGACCAAAACAAGGTCAAAAGTCCAAATAAACATATGTCCGCAAATCCTTCGTTTTTGAGTGAAAGAAAGTTTAAAGAAAGTTTACGGTAGATGGCGCTGTGTTGCCATGTAGACGAGGTTACATTTGTCATTCGTGTACATTTGTGGCTAGTCTGTCTTCAACGTTTAACGTGTGTAGTGATAAGTTAACTGTGAAGTGTTCCGTTTAACAATGGCAGGATATTCATATCGTGAGCAGACAGATATGATTTATATATATGACCGCTGGAATGGTAATGGACACGAGGTTTGCAAAGTTTGTAAAAGTATTCTTATACACCATATATATATATTGTTGTGGTAGGATCCACCTAATTTGCATAGTGGAGTACCGACCATATAAATATGGTTGGTACCGGGAAGAGAGGGAGGAATCAAGAGATTCAACCAGAGACTCTGCCCGACTGCGACTCAGTCAACACATTCTCCAGGAACGGTCTTACCAGGAATATACAAAAGACTATATGTAAATATTGTGTACACTTTCTTGTTTCAATACATTTTGTTCTAAGTACATTTTGTGTTGCATTATTATTCCATGCATTAGTCAAGTTTCAACATATATATATATATATATATATATATATATATATATATATATATATATAGTATCTATAAATTATTCGATAAATGTCTATACAGAAGATCTATACGTAGTGTCACTCTATCCCCATCTGCATTTATCGGTAGCAATTGCTCCGTTGTCTGTTCGTCCCAAATGCAACCTGTAGAATGAAGTATTACCTACCTCCAGGGCTTTCATAAAATGGAGCCCGTTGATTCTCGTAAGTTGGTTATCAGAAAGATTTATCTCCTTCAGGTTGTGGCAAGGAGTAAGGTCAGGAGGTTCTTTCAACTTGTTACTAGCTGCCAGAAGTTCTTCAAGTTGAGGCAACACTTTTAGCGCCTGCAATAAGGGGAAAAGTTTCGGATAATGAGGGGTTGTTCAATATGAAACTATTAGGATAGTGTCTTGATTTGTTTTATTAAATGAAACATTGACAACGATTAATCATTTCTGGGATTAGAAGTTATCATGTGTTACATTATTAACACCCAGACTAATTTTCTTATCTTTGATGTTATCACACAAGATCTCAGCCAAACTGAACATTTCTTTGATCTGCGAGGATAGAATGTTCTCGCTTCGTGGAACAATACTGGATTAAAGTACTGGGTCATGAATTTAGTAACATAGTAATTGTGTGTTCAATCTCCAGGCTGGGTAGTAGTTTCTGTATGAATTTCTGGAATGAGAAGTTAATGTAATTTATATTACACCCTTGTGCAAATTAATTAGAGAGGGAGATGTGGAGGGCCATGATCACCTACACCCTTAATTGAAACAAAATGAATAATTCCATTATTATTTACTTTTTTCGTATTTTTCCGATGAAACATGACCCAGTGCACATGTTAGTACTTTGTATGTCCATTCCACGAAGTCGTTCCTTGAAGATTGATCACAGAATCTCGATTGGATTTAAATCAGGAGAGTTTCCGGGCAACTGTTCAAAGACAGAGACGCAACGGAATTGTGGCTCTGTCTGCGGACAGAGACGCAACTGGTAAAAAAAAATACTGAGAAGTCGCCAGTTCCGGGGAAGGGCTTCCCGCGGTATCACACCCCTCATTGCACTCGAGAAGGAGGATCGGTAGTCATTCCGATGACGGTTGGGAGAGCTGGGGAATTTTTTTATCCCTGGCCCGAATGTATGCCCTCCACACATTAAAACCGGCCTTGTGTCACATCTCGTCTCAGTGGGGAGTCTCAGGTAAATAGATCTGGTAGATTAAAGCATTTGTTCGTGAATTTGGTATCACTTTAATTGTGATTTTAATCCCTACACCGGGCAGTGTGTACTTGGACTCAGTGAAAACAGGTGAATATTAACGGAGCTGTACTAAAAATAAACACGTGACGAGGTAACCCTCGACATATGCAGTGGAACGAGAACAGTCTAATCCCGTAGATTAAATAAATGGTTCAGTTCAGAATTCCCTGTAGGTTACCAGATCGATATGCAGAACGAAGAGCGCAACGGCCGAAAAGTTGTGATAACAACAACAAAGATAAGGACAACAGTCTGAATGAAATTAGACGAAGTGAACATACTGTTCCTTGTTAAATATGGTTTTCTCATCGGAGATTTGTTCCATATCAATTCTAGTCACCTTTTTGCAAATCTAAAACTAACACTCTAATAAACAATGTGGTTCGGTAATTAAGAAAAATATACCTCCAATGAAATTCGAACCCCTTTTTTGTCTCGTGAATCCCGTCTTAATACAACAACATATTTACATGTTCTAGAAAAATATGACGCCTGAAAATAAATCAAGACTAATTTTGTCTCCAGACGAGTGAATTTCAGAATCTGCGAAACTCCGAAAAGAGATAAGTAAACATATTATTATTATTTCTTTGTCGTATATCCATTTCCCTCCGGGTCCCAACCAGGGATCTAAGGTTAGAAATGGCACATATTGAGTATTTTTAAAGACAATCTAAGATCACAAATTTTATATAGATAAAGCATTTCGTAATGTGTCCGCTGTACTTGTGAGTGCTATTCTTTTGTATTTCTTTAAATCATGCCAAGGATCTTTTCAATGGGTCTATCAGAACACTTTTCAAACAACCCGTGAGTTCCAACTACTACTGGGATTATTATTATTATTATTATTATTATTCATTGTTTTAATTTCTTTTCTGATCGCTTCCATTATGATGACGGCATTGATGACTAAGTAGACCAATTCTTGCATGGAAGAGTCGATGACATTGACTGCAGAATAATGTGGGTGGAAGACGAAGTCGATTTTGTCGACCCCTATTCTCTCTTGTCATTTGACTTCTTCCTTTTCTCTTCTGGCGGCTTCGAAGTTTTTGGTTCATATGGTGATAGAACACGATGGTCTCGGGTTTGTATTTCAAACAATTTAGGCTCAAGTCCAGTGGCTTTCTGTGTTGTTTTGAGTCGGTCCTGGTATCTTCGAAGAGGGCCACACCGTGGTCTTTCCACTGAATAAAAATTGACGTGGAATCCTTAAATCTTCCCTTCAGAAGGTGTTAAGAATTAGCGACTGTTGACTCTTTCCAAGCCAACAAATGTTGGTTCCATAGTAATTCCATTTGCCGATGAAAGCGTTGTAATTGGAGCTGCATACGGGGCATTTCGAAAGCTAATCAAACGCGTCTTCAACAATAAAGATCTGAGCTTAAATATTATGGTTTATCGCACTGTTGTCATTTCAAGTTTGCTATATGGTTGCGAAACCAGAACTATATAACGTCGCGATATCCAAAAATTATTATTATTATTATTATTATTAATATGCGCGCGTGTTCACACAATACAAGGCCCAAGGGCCACTCAAGGTAGAGGATTATGTGTGGAGTCGTATTAGTGTAAGAAAGGATAAAATAACAGGAAAGATTAAGGGTAAGATTTAATTGGCGAATAAAATTTCAAAATTTAGACAGACAAGTTTGGAGTATAGAGTCGAAGTAGACTTTAGAAGGGACTAGAAACCCAATCCTAAACAAGAAACCAGGAATAAACCTCTACTCCTGGCCGGGGTGAAAAGGGTGATAGGGAAACTTATCTGCTAGGGAAAATGGTTGGAAAACTTAAGACGCAAAATTACTTCGTCAACGTTAGAAAATGAAGCGTCTTTCTTTAATTCTGTTGTAACCTCGGGAAGGTTACTGAATAGAATAATCACACAAAGGTTGGTAATGAACGATAATACTTAGGACAAGAACAACACATATAAGATTCGCTAGCGGCAGGTATGATATTTCCCAACCGCCGCACGCGGTCAGATAGGGTACAACGCTGAATTTAATGTGGGTTATCCGAGCCCGTAGGCTCGGCCAAAAATTCCTCCTAGACCCCGTATAAAACTGGGTCGGGGTGCTGTTTCCCGAGACATGACACTGCCCTTCGACATAGTCTCGTCTGGGGATCCTCTCTGCCCAGATGCAGAGAGTTTGACCAGCACAACTGGAGACGAATCTCCAACTGCAGAATATCTACCAACCGCCCACGCTGTCAGACGTGGCACAAGGCCAAATTTAATGTGGGTCATCCGTGCCCGTAGTCTCGGCTAAAAATTCACCGTAGACCCCGTATAAAACTGGGTCGGGTAGCTGTTTCCCGAGACAAGACTCTGCTCCTCGACATAGCCTCCTCTAGGGATCCTCTCTACCCAGAGGCAAAGAGCTTGACCAGCACAGCTGGAGACGAATCTCCAACTGCAGACCAACATACAGTATTTACTACTGTATTTATGTGAATGGGGACATACCTATTACCGTCCATACGTATGCTACAACAAATTCCCTTATAGATAAATATAATAGCCGATCACTTATTTTTGAACACATCTATCTGCTAGAGGGGCAAGCTAATCCCTGTTACAGACGCCTGTTCAAGATGTCTGCTTGTTCAACACCCACAATGTCCACCTGCGATTTAAATTTCAAATCTACTGAGCAGACCTTAAAAAAACGTAAAATCTGGTTTTATCAACAAGACCAGTACCCTTAAGGTTACTTTAACTTCGTGCTTGCACAAGCGTCGAGGGTCTTAGAACAGTTCTGTCTATTCAATTTCACTCATGGGAACCAGCCCGTATGGCTTTTAGAGACGATCCAACCGCGTCGCATCGGCACCGATGAAATCACGAAGAATCCACAAAAAGTCGACCATTTTGAAATTCAAACCCGAATCTCATATTCTAGAAACGAACGTTCTCGTACTCGATCCTATGAGCGTTATTCGATTCGCAGTTAATGATAAGGGTAATGGTAATATTAACCGTTTCCTTATAAGGAAATACACGGTATTTATTGGCAGAACAGCTAGTGCTGCAGTTGATTGAAATTTATAAAATCTTTCTCTTGAATCGGTTTTTCAGCAAAATAGTTTTTATTCAAATCCACTGTTATCGTTCTTTCCACTAATGGTGGGTGGCTTCGTTCTTAACATTTTGTTTGAAGTAGTCTGTAATGTCAACCGATTGATTATATCATTATTTACTCTTCGAGGAAAATGTGCTGTCCATTTTAGTTGTGGCTGCTCCAAGTTATGTGGCTTCTAGTATGGTTCAATGTGATTCTGAAGTAGCACTACAAGAGTTTCGAAGAAGGATGGTCCACTCTAAAACCTGCGTTATTCATTCGCTCAAAGCCATTTCTAATCATTGATCTAAGAACGCGATTGTATACAGCTGAGGGTTTTGCCATTTCTGAACGGGTTGAATGCAATGAAAGTCTAGATCTGCTGAGGCTTTTTAAGAAGATAATTCGGGTTCTTAGGTTAATGTCTTAGTTTCGTAACATCGACGTAGGACTAAACTAAACAAAAGCAAACACAATTGATCTACCGAACCTGCAGTAATTTCTTATCATCCGAGCCATTAATATCAATTAATGACTAAGCCCTTGTTAGTGACTTCGCTTCTTATTGACTGATCCTAGTTGAATCCAATGGACAAGTTTCTCTGTGCGTTTTTAACCGAATGCGGCTTAGTACGATAAATACCTATTAATGAGTTCTTTAGAATGAAGCAATTATGAAACCAACAAGCGTCGAGCAATCTGATCATAAAAGGAAACCTCACCTGCAAATTAGTTAGCCTGTTACTTGAGATGTTTAATATACGCAGATTCGAACATCCACAGAGCTGAGAACACTTGATTTCAGTCAGGTTATTGTGGTCAAGTCGAAGACAAATCAGGTTTTTCAGTTTCAGACCCTCCCCTGAAAAAGTAAACAAAGAAAAAAAGCAAAATCAAGGTTTGTTTGAATATCCAAACTCTTTCTTTTCTCGATCAAGAAGACAATGAACAAAATGACATTGACAAATGATGACATGGAGACATCCGAACCAAGAAATTTTGCTTTAGCATAAACGATAAATTAAAATCTAAATCCCGAATGTTTAATCAACCGACAGTCTTTACAAATAATAAAATTAAAATACTGGAAACCAACCTCCTGATTAAAGATAGAAATTTAATCAGCAAACAACCAAAACTAGAAGTGGGGCGTAACACAAATATGTGTCGGACGTATTCAACCTTTACAGCGAGGTGTTCCAGACAGAACTAGAAATCCTACGAGGTTTTATTATTGGCAGTCACAATCTAAAGACGATTCATAACGACATGACATAATTATTATTTTTATTATCATTATTTCCTTTGATTTCTATTGTATACACATCTCCTTCTGGATTTCCAGAGAAATAAGGTCAGAAACGGATTTATGGCATCTTCCACTAACCATTTTTGTAAAAAAAAAAATATAGCCTGAAATAAAACACATTTTAAATCGATAAGCTTTTCGTATTTTGTGAGCTGTAGTTGTGAGTAAAATCTTTTGTATTTCTTTAAGACATAGACTAGCAGGAATTCCTCCCGTGGGTCTATCGGAACCTTTTACAATCAATCCGAATGATCCAACTACAACTGGAAATATTGATGTCTTCATGTGCCACATCTTTGAGATTTCCTTGTATTTTGATAGTTTTGTTTAAATCTCCAATGATACGTTACAATCTACAGGGGCTGTAATGTCAATAAGAAAGCGCGTTCTGGTTTTGTGGTGTTTGATCACGATGTCTGGGCGATTAACTGTCATTATTATTATTATTATTAATATTATTGCTTCACTTAAGAGCGCGATTTAAGAAAAGCAAAAGGAAACCCTTAAAACGTATGAAGACAGTTACGTATGCAAATTACTAACTCCTCGCCACGGGAGAATGAACAGAATATCAGGAGAGTTTCATAAGATTTGTTATAAGTTATTTGATTAATTCCACTTAGGATTTAATCAACTAACGGAAAATGAGGAACTAATCAACTAACGGAAAATTCCAAGATGAGCAAGATCATCATCAGATTATGCATGTTCCATGAACATTTATGAAAATTTATACATGACTTCACTCTGGGACGCGTTTCATTCGTTTTGACGCGTTGATTACCAGTACAGCCATTTTGTTTTTTTCATTACAAGACATTTGGCGGAGTAGGTAATGGATACTTATTTAAGACGTTGCATACTGAGAAAGACAATATTCGGATTATTTTGTGAATGGATTTAGGATACCCAGCTAATAAAGCCATGGAGTTTTACTTTGAAAAGACTGACTTCAAAAAGTCCAGAGGTCATCCAAGAACCAGTATAGTCACAACGCTGAACCGAGACACTCAAAGAACAAGGCAGAAAGATCCCACTTTTCCGTTGGAGAAGTTTACAATCAAAGAAGATCTGCAACGAATCCGCAAACTGGCAGGGGACTGAGAAAGCTGGCAAAATATTGTCGAATCTATATACATTGTCACTGAAGATGAGAGAACATGTTAATTCATGACCTTAAATCGAAACAGTTTTGATGATGATGATGATGGTGGTGGTGGTGGTGGTGGTGATGATGATGAAGATGATGATGATGATGGTGGTGGTGGTGATGATGATGATGATGGTGGTGGTGGTGGTGGTGGTGATGATGATGATGATGATGATGATGAGCAACGTTTGTACAAAGACTTATAATTTTTTGTAGATTCATATATTTATATACCTGAAAAACGTTTTAAATATAACTTGGAGAAGACAGACATATTGTCGAAATACCGTTTAACATTGCTTTTCATTTCTTAAATCGTGCTCTTCATTTAAGTGTTGAAAAATATTAGAAGAGTTATGTTAATCATTTTGCTTATTATTATTATTATTATTATTTTCTGCCTGAATTTCTGGAATGAGGAGTTATCATTATTACACTATTTATATTCGTACTATTGTCCTCATCTTGAGAACAATAATCCGAACATAAATAGTGCAAATAATAATAATATTTTTCTGCACAGCTTTTTTACTTTTTACCGGAGATTTTGTATTATGAGTGCTCTCCATTATTTCGTACGATCCCAGACAGCACCAATCTCAGGATATTTGCTGTGCCAGGCAATGCAGACTTCTTAAGCGATAGCATACTAAGCTTTATTCTGATTTTCTCAACGTAGGATTAAGGTGTAGTTCTACCGAAGGATACAGAGAATACCATGGACTGGGCATGTGATCCATGTAAGATATAATGAAAACAAGGACACTTTTACTTAGAATTACATTCGAGGTCGGTGTACATCTTAACCTTGTCATTGTCTTTGACCATAATGCTTTTGTCACCAGGAACAATCACGTCAGGCACTTTTCTATCAACGACAGTTATTATTATTATTATTATTATTATTATTATTATTCAACTGTACTTTATTTCAGTTAGAAATATTCAGATTTTGGTCTTTTAAGCGTTATTGCAAACTAAGAATTCGTTCAGAATACGAGAAACCGAAAAACTGAAACAATAGCATATCGCATTGCACAAAATTTAATTATTTTGAGGATATTTTTAGCTTTTCTCTTGAAGTAAAACTCATAATTTATAATAAGGATTTGTATAGTAGCAAAATATGTTTAATATAGAAACAGCCTCCAGTATTAAAAAAAAGAAAATAAATAAAAATATGTATGCTAAGAAAACTTCAATCTTTTTATTTAAAATCATTTTTCCGAACCAATTAAAATCTGACTCAGACAATTCCACTGACCAATATCAATGACAATACTAAAATCCTATTTCTTTCAAACACTGACTCAGAGATAATATCTGCTATATTTATTAATACTACACTCCAATGTCGTTTTTTGTTTTGTTTGCTTTTTTTTTTTCGAATGCGAGGAGACATTTAATTGCTCATACGAACAAACGCAGGCATTTTTATACGTGGTATGTCAAAGTCTTGTTCATTTTACACACAATATCGACGATGAGCGACATAACAGCCCTTATTGGGTTATATAAAGTCGAATACAATTCACAGAGGATAAAAATCAGTTGGATGAAAAAGGTAAGCATAGATTCAGTTTTACTCTAATGTCTCTGTGCCCTGCTTTTTTGAGAATTGAGGTTTGGCACAGTGGCGGAGGATATTGGACAAAAATCCCTAAGATCAAAAGGTAGACATCTGTCCAGTTTACACTAGGATAAAATGTAGACATATGTCCGGTTTACACTAAGATATAAAAGTTAGACATATGTCCGATTTTCAATAGGATCTAACAGATAAACATATGTCCGGTTTACACAAGAATCTGAAAGGTAGACATATGTCCGATTTACATTAGGATCTAAAAGGCAAATATATGTCTGGTTTACACTAGGATCTAAAAGGTGGACATCTGAACGGATTACATTAGGATCTAAAAGGTAGACATCTGTGCGGTTTACACTAGAATCTAAAAGGTAGACATATGTCTCGTTTACACTAGGATCTAAAGGTGGACATCTGTGCGGTTTACATTAGGATCTAAAAGGTAGATATATGTCTGGTTTACACTAGGATCTAAAAGGTGGACATCTGTGCGGATTACATTAGGATCTAAAAGGTAGAGATCTGTCTGGTTTACACTAGGATCTAAAAGGTAGACATATGTCTCGTTTACACTAGGATCTAAAGGTGGACATCTGTGCGGTTTACATTAGGATCTAAAAGGTAGACATCTGTGCGGTTTATACTAGAATCTAAAAGGTAGACATATGTCTCGTTTACACTAGGATCTAAAAGGTGGACATCTGTGCGGTTTACATTAGGATATAAAAGGTGGACATCTGTGCGGTTTACATTAGGATCTAAAAGGTAGACATATGTCTCGTTTACACTAGGATCTAAAGGTGGACATCTGTGCGGTTTACATTAGGATCTAAAAGGTAGACATCTGTGCGGTTTATACTAGAATCTAAAAGGTAGATATATGTCCGGTTTACACTAGGATCCGAAAGACAGACATAGGTTCGGTTTATATTTCGAGAGCTCGTAGCCACTTTCTTTGTTGTTTTTTTTAACACTATGGAACCATAAAATATTCTTGAATCCACTTCTTCTCCCTCCAGCTATGGGTTAATTAGTAAGACTTTTATCGCTAAATCATTCTCCAAAATTAAAATAAAAATGCCTACAAAATATTTAGATTTCGACCGTAACAATACCCCATAGTGGTGTTGATATGCCACTAAAAAAAAACCTACCAACCATACATTTCATCTGTCTCTTTCTGATTCTGCGTATATGTCGCCTTTTTGCTAGCATAAGCTTCCAAAAACATGCATTTGATTAAAAGGCGAAATGCTTTTGATGCACTGGTTTTCATTAATGATTGAACTATGATGCTAGCAATTTATATAAACATTTTTTTATTAAAATATTGGAATTTTTATCTCGATCTAATAAATACTTTTTAATATCGACAATCTCGAAATTGAGGAACTGCTGACCTATTAAAATTAGACTCTTGGCATTTAGTTACTCGTGCGAATCACTGGAAATGCGCTTTCATCAATTGAGAAATTTCAATCTTAGAATTTTAATAACATTTAACCGCTATTAAGTCGGATCAATTTTCGAGTCATGTTATTAAAATATAAGGCTAAAAAGAGAAAATATGAATTTATAATGAGAAATGGAATATTTTTTCTGTTATCTTCTTTTTTATTTATTTTTTCTCGTGTTTCTTCTTGTATCTAATTTTCTTCCTTTATACTCATTTTGACTTCTTATTCCTTTTCTTCTAGTTTGTTTTACATCTGTCTCCTCTTCTTTTTCTGTTATCTTCTTTTTTTTTTTTTACTTCTTTTCTTGTGTTACTTCTTGTGTCGAATTCTTCTTCTTTATACTCATCCTCCGCCATCT